CCTAACCCCGGCTCATCCTCCCGAGGGAAGCTATTCAGCATCCTTCCCGGGGGGGCTTTCACGCCATCTTGCTTGTCTGGGCGGACTTCAACCGCTATCCTCTCACCAACGCGTAAAGGCTCCTCGCCGTCCCAACGTCCGGCGACTCGCATGGGCCTCTCTTCGGCCCGACTCGCTTCGTTGCCTCCCACGGCGTGCCGCTGCTCGCGGCCCTCCTCCGTGAGGCCAGCTTCGGGTAACACTGCTCCGTAACTTCAGACAACCCGACAAATCCCTGCCGATACCCCCAGCTGAGTTGAATTCGGGTTTGCGGGCTGAATAGATCACGAGTTCGTAAAAAGCCCCTCAACCCATAAAAAGCTAACGGCAGGGCCGGTCGGACCCCAATTTCATCTCAGCTACGAAGTTGTAAATTCATTCGCTTGAACTTTCTACATGGCCATCCCGACCTTGAACTACTTCGACCGTCCGGGTCGTGCTGAGGCATCTCGGCTGGCGTTCCATGTTGGAGGGGTGGAGTTCAAAGACCACCGCTTCACTGCCGAGGAGTGGGGTGCTGAGTACAAGGCGAAGGCGCCGACAGGCCTTGCTCCTTGGCTCGAGCTGGAAGATGGGTCTTATATTGTAGAGAGCAAGGCGATCTTGATGTACGCTGCAAACAAGGCAGGTCTCATCCCCAAAGATCCGGTAGATGCGGCCGTGGCTGAGCAGGCCTGCAGCATCATGGAAGCTTGCTTTGGTCCGACTAGAAACATATACATGAACAAAGAAGTTGAGAAAGCGAAGGTTGAGCTGGCTGAAAAGCTAGCTGTTGCCGACAAGGTGATTGCCACTAGGCAGTCGGAGTCAACTGGCTTTATCTCCAACGCCGGATTTTCTTACGCCGACCTGTTTGTTTTCACATTCCTATTGGGAATCACTGGCCGACTCCCGGATGCCATGAAGACCGAGGAGTATCCCCACCTGAAGAAGGTCTACGAGGCTGTTAAGGCGTACCCGAAGGTCGCTGAGTACTATAAAAGCCGCCAGTAATTTTTCGTGAAAACTGTTTGGAGCCACCCAAAAATGTTTCTTAAAAGTCTCCGCGCAGGGCCCAAAAGCCTTGACGCGCCTTGGGGTGGTCTTTCGGAGTGTACAGCAGTTGTCTACGAACAAAACATTCACTGGGTTCAGTAAAACATTCAACCACTGAGTGTTTTGTTCTTGGTAGAGTTTGTTCATGTTTTGATGGGGTGTCTTGGTCCGTATGAGCATAGCTAGGGGGGGTGTGGACAGCGGGTGCGTGTATCTGATTGATAGAGATTATATGAACAACAAGGAGATGTTATAGTTGTAGACTCCCAGCTCTTCACCCCGTGCTGACGTCGGGGCAATGCGAAGGGAATGATGTTTGACCTGGAACAAGTGCCACATGGAGGAAGAAACAATTGCAACTCCGCGATGCTACACTGCGGTAAACTGGATCGCACACAAAACCAGGAATCCAATTACAGACCGACCGCACACAGACCAACACACATTATTGAAGCAACACACAAGGTGTTGCAGAGCTCCATCTCCCCCAGAAAGAACCCAATTCACCCCTAGACAACCTCCGCTAAAGGCCTGAAAAAAATCTGCTGCATTCGACCGTCCAAAATGCACTATCGAGTGTTCCGCCAAAAGTCGCCACCGTCGACGGTATTGACTATTTTACTGAGTTTGGGAGGTGCCCATACATTCGGTGCCTCACGGTTACAATCCAAGGAGAGCACCTCCAGACCCCAAGCATTGTTAGTCGCTAGCGGAAGAACCATGGGGGTCAATAACGCTCCACCGGGCAATACCCCACCGGGCCCGTCGCCCACGGTCCTGTCCCCCACGGTCCTGACGCCCACGGCCCTGCGGCCCACGGTCATTATGCCAACGCCCCTGACGCCCACTCGTAGTAGGACTGTCAAGCGTTGTGCTGCTGTGGCGCCTGCGGTCACGCCACGCGGTACTTGGACCGGCAAAGTCTCGATCGACAATGCGACATCACCACCAAAGAAAATGTGTTCGTCCTTTCGGGGTCCCCGTAAGCATTTCTTGGATCGGTTCCTGACGTGCTCAGCAGAGTCGGAAAAACCGCTCGCAATTGTCGTACCGCAAACTGTCGGGAATGCAGGCGTGCACACTATCCGTTACACTCCCGACAAAGTCGATGGACAAGAGGACAGTGCCGGACGGTTTCAGGGCAACGTGCAACCGAACTTCGTCCGTCCAGACAGGCTCGTTGCTCGCCTTGACGAGTGCATTCCCGCATTTCAAATCATCTTCCCACACGAGGAAGGGTTGGAAATAAGCGGCAAGTACCTGGCGTGGGCGTATGACATACTGAGTCATGGTTGGTGGCACTTGGTTCCTTTCCAAGTGAAGAAGCCCGTGTCGGTATTCGGACTAGCCCAAATGGCCGCCGAATGGGAAAATATCTGGAGGACCAATCCAGCTTTACCAGCTAATGGCACGTTGGGAGCCTACTGTTACCAGAGGCTTGGAGGTCCCAGATATTGGGATGCGGTCGCCTTTTCCGATTGGTTGACATCAGGACGACCTGCAGGTTACGGAGACTGGCAAGGTCGTAGGTTCATTCCGCTAAGCCACGTTACTTCTACACTACATGATCTGCTGGATCACTGGCCGGTCGATCAGTCTGGTAGCACCAGCTATAGGGTAAACTTGAACCGTTGGCGGTGCCGCTACGGGAGACAGAGAGGCCGTAGCTTCTCAGATGAAGCTGGCCCATCAGGGGACCCGTGGGTATCCAGAACTGAATTCGAAGGATTACTCGTAGAGATGTTGGGAAGTTTAGGGGTGCCACTAACGGAGGTCTCGAAGAAATTTCGTAGGACTCAACGAAGGCAACGGATATGTCGGAGAGTGGCAGAAGCTACTGGAGCGGTAATGAATGATCCCAAACGCGAGATGTTGATCCAGGCCGTCATGAGCGACTCACCTCCATCCCATCTGCTCGGCGTTTCCGGGAAGGAGTTTCACATAGCAACCGGGTCGGAGACTGAACTGCGGGTTCCATCACGTTACCTGATTTGGGCGTACGACGTTCTGAACCACGGCTGGTGGGGTGCGGTACCGGAGGCGATCTTCTCACCGGGACTGTCAGTGTTCGAATTGGCTCAGAAGGCTTGGGAGTGGGAGACTAATGGTGGATGTATTTATACCTTGTCATCCAGTTGTTATACATGCGGAGAAGGTGGTAAACCCCATCCTGCATTTGTAAGTTGCGAGAGATGCGAAAAGCAATGGAGTCCGGAAGAGTTTTGGGAATGGCTTCGATTGAGACACTTTCGACGCATCTGGGATCAGCTAAAGAATCCTGATCACCCGAAAGAAGATTCCGACCGGCTTGCAAGTCCACCTGTCGACTGGTCCCAAATCGATCGACATCACTTGTCTGAGATAATTAAAGAAATTGGGTTCGATGTACCCACAAAGAAGGATGAATACACATTCCAGATTTGCCACCCGCCAATCACAAAATTCTTGCCCACTAACGACTACAGGTCGTTGACTGGGCGATTCAAGCGCTGGTGGTCGACACTTCGTGGAATGTTTGACAAATCTGCAGATGGGTTTTGCCGATGGGAACATGAGCGTGTGATCCTGTACAGAGTCAGTCAGCTATACTGTCCAGATAATCCTATTTGCTAGCACTTCTTATTTGGTCAAGTTTTTTTTTAACTGACATCAACTCGAATCGAACCCACAACCTCGAGATGAGAAGGCTAGCTTTAGTGTAGTCGGTGACGACAAGACGTTCTTCGTGGAAATGGCGTCAGCAAGTGGTTGGCAGTTGTGAAGGGTGTGGCGTGAAGATAGTTACGACGAGAATGGCTAGCCTCTCCCACTACCCTGCTTCGAGCTGTCGCCAAAAAAGATAAATATCCCGGCGCAGGTCCAAAACCAAAATAAAAGCAACGTCGAAATGTTACCCTACAAAAAGTCGTCCAGCTCATTCGGCCTGGCCACTATCCTGTTGGGATGGGGAGACACTGTCGCCGCATTCCATTCCCAGGACTCGTTGCCACAACCCACATATTGCAGTTCCGAAGAAGACGGCTCACTACCGGTCGTGTCTGGATTGACTACCGCGCTCCCGCCGGTCAGTAACCATACAATGAATTCCACGACCACTACTAGTAGGGCCACCAAGCGTTGTGCAGCTATGCCGTCTGCGGCAACTGGTTATCCGCTACTTGGTGGCTCGACAGAGGATGCTTTACCACCAAAGAGAATGTGTTTAGAATCGGCAATTGGTTTCTTGGATCAGGCTTCGGCAATGAGTGATGATGCCATTGCAAAGATCGACAGTGTTGTAGCCGAGGTGCTGGAAGGCTGGGATGAAGGTGATGACATCATTGCAGACATCGACGGGATTGTGGAAGACATGTTGGGAGGTTGCTCTGATGCCCTGTTTGGGAGTGCTAAGAAGTCCAATGCTGAAGAAATGGGTGATAAGGTTTGTGTTGGCGTTAATGAGTCTATTCCTGCTTTTCAAATCATCTCCCCGGAAGAGAAGGATTGGATTGTTGAAGCAAAGTATCTGGTATGGGCGTATGACATACTAAGTCATGGTTGGTGGCACTTGGTTCCTTTCGAAGTGAAAAAGCCAATATCGGTTTTTGGACTTGCTCGAAAGGCTGTTGAGTGGGAGGAAGCGAGGACAGCTAACCCCGCTTTAAAAGTCAATGTCCTATTGGAAGCACGTTGTTATTATCCCCATAGCGGCCGAAAGGTACCGTGGAATGTGGCGCAATTTCACGAATGGTTTGTTTCAGCAGCACCAGACGACGTTGGATTCAGAAATACGTTTGACCGGAAAGGTGGTAGTTGGTTCATTGCCTCAAGCCGCGTAAATGTTGCTTTGCATGACATTCTGGACCACTGGCCGGTAAACGAGGTGGACAGTACCCGATTTGAGAGCAACATGGTTCGTTGGCGGACACGTTACAGGGCCATAAATCGTAAGTCTTTGGATGGTTCGCCATTATCCAGTGCTGCCCGCCTGTCATGGCGTCAGCTGGAACGGTTAGTCGTCAAAGCGTTGGGAGATTTACGAGTGCCACTGGACGAAGCCGCGAAGGAATTCCGAAGGACTCAGCGACGGCAGCGCATCTGCAATAAGGTGGCAGTATTGAATGGAGGAGTGATGAATGATTCCAGACATGCTTTGTTAGTTAAGGTTATGATGAGCGACTCACCTCCATCTCATCTAGTTAATATTTCGGGAGACAAATTTCAGATAGTCACCGAGCCGGAGACCGAATTGAGGATTCCACCACGCTACCTGGTATGGGCTTACGATTCTTTGTTTCATCGCTGGCCGGGTGCTGTACCGGAGGCGGTCTTCTTACCGGGACTGTCAGTTTTCGATTTGGCTCAGAAGGCTTGGGAGTGGGAGACTAATGGTGGAAGTATCTATACCTTGTCATCCAGTTGTTATACATGCGGAGAGGATGGCAATGCTCATCTTACATTTGTAAGTTGCGAGAGATGCGAAAAGCAATGGAGTCCGGAAGAGTTTTGGGAATGGCTTCGATTGAGACACTTTCGACGCATCTGGGATCAGCTAAAGAATCCTGATCACCCGAAAGAAGATTCCGACCAGCTTGCAAGTCCACCTGTCGACTGGTACCAAATCGATCGACATCAGGTGTCTGAGATAATTAAAGAAATTGGGTTCGATGTACCCACAAAGAAGGATGAATACACGTTCGAGATTTCCCAACCACCAGTCGAGAAGTTCTTGCCTGCCAAAGGCTACAGGTCGTTGTCTGGGCGATTCAGAAACTGGTGGTCGAGACTTCGTGGAGCGTTAAACAGGTCCCGAGACGGGCTTTGTCGATGGGAACATGAGCGTTTAGTACTACATAAAGTTGGTCCGGTTTTAGTTTGGCCTAGTTGGCACACCTCGTTGGATAAATCGTAACAAGAGAGCGAACCATCTGGTCATGGTGGCTGCTGTTGTGGGATTCCTGCGGTAACGGCGGTTCGAGTTAGTCGTAGAAGTGTTGTCCGAATTGCACCTGGTTTGAGACATTATCAAAGTGTGTGAGATAGTGTGTGAGATCAGTTCTTTGGCCATCAGTTGTTCGGGCACCGTGCGAAAGCTGGGTTGTGCCGTTGGGAACATGAGCGTTTGATCTTATATAGACTAAGCTCATTTCGTACTAACCTGGTGGATCCCATCATCGGTGTGGGCGTAGATCCCGTTCGGGTGTGCTTTCCGATCAAATAAAATTCAGACGACTTACAGAACGGCGTTGGCTTCTGTCAGACATTCCCTTAGGCTGCATAAAAAGCGAGTACACCGGGCTTGCGAGGGCGAGGGACCTACGTCCACCTTAGAGATGTCGTTAAAACTGCTAGCTCTCTTGTTGCTTGCCATATAAACCCACCGTCCCACATATACCTTTGTTACACGACCCTTCGTTCTGGGCTTCTTTAGTCTCGATTTTCCTAGTACTGAACTATAAATGAAACAGTCGGGCTATGAGTCCAGCTGATCCCCTCTACTGTAGCTCCGGCAGTTCTTTGTGAAGGCGGAGAAAAAAAGTAGAGCCGGCGGATCAAGGCCGTAAGGGTGTGAGGATAGCTTGTTTCCATTTGCTTCGGAAGCCAAGATGCAGCATCGATTACACCGGGGGAAAACGCCCAGCTCGTCAGTGCTGACCACTATTTTATTGAGCTGCGGAGGCAAGGTTATATCCGATTCGAGTGCCTCGTTATCAGGATCTCCACGGTACACCTCCAGTTCCCAAGAGGACCGCCCAGTCGTTCCTGCGGAAAACGTCAAGTTCCAGTCTGTCAGCAATGCCGCAAGGGATTTGGCTCCCAATAAGCGCCGTGCCGTCAAACGTTGCCCTGTTATGCCGTCTGAGGTAACTGGTTATCCGCTACTTGGTGGCTCGACAGAGGATGCTTTACCACCAAAGAGAATGTGTTTAGAATCGGCAATTGGTTTCTTGGATCAAGCTTCGGCAATGAGTGATGATGCCATTGCAAAGATCGACAGTGTTGTAGCCGAGGTGCTGGAAGGCTGGGATGAAGGTGATGACGTCATTGCAGACATCGACGGGATTGTGGAAGACATGTTGGGAGGTTGCTCTGATGCCCTGTTTGGGAGTGCTAAGAAGTCCAATGCTGAAGAAATGGGTGATAAGGTTTGTGTTGGCGTTAATGAGTATATTCCTGCATTTCAAATTACCTTCCCACATGAGGACGCATCATCGGTTGAAGCAAAGTATCTGGTATGGGCGTATGACATACTAAGTCATGGTTGGTGGCACTTGGTTCCTTTCCAAGTGAAGAAGCCAATATCGGTTTTTGGACTTGCTCGAAACGCTATTGAGTGGGAGGAAGCGAGGAAGGCTAACCCAGCTCTAAAAGTCAATGTCCTATTGGAAGCACGTTGTTATTGTCCTTCTCGTAAGTCTGCCTGGGATACGTTGACATTTTCCAAATGGTTGAAGTCGAGACAATCTGCAAGTGATATTGGATTCAGAAAGATGTGTGGCAAAATCAGGCGAGGTGGTTGGTTCATCTTGTCAAGCCGTGTGAGCGATGCTCAACATGATCTACTCACACGCTGGCCAGTAAACCAAGAGTGGTGCGACCAATTCGCGGAGAATATGAGGCGTTGGCGATGTCGTTATACGAATGCGATAAATCGTGGGTTACCTGATCTGTCAGCATGCTTGTCGTGGCTGCAGTTCGAGGAGTTGGTCGTAAAAAGGATGGGAGATTTACGAGTGCCTCTGAACGAAGTTTCAAAGGAGTATCGAAAGACTGAGCGAAGGCAGCTGATGCTCCTTAAGATGGCAGAATTGACTGGAGGGATGATGAATGACGCTTCGTTAGTTAAGGTAATGATGAGCAATTCTCCTCCATCTCATCTAGTCAATATTTCGGGAAGCACGTGTCAGGTAGTCACGGAGACAGAGACGGCACCGCGAATTCCATCACGTTATTTGGTTTGGGCATACGATATTCTGAATCACGGCTGGTGGGGTGCGGTACCTAAGACCATATTGTCACCGGGACTGTCAGTTTTCGAATTGGCTCAGAAGGCTTGGGAGTGGGAGACTAATGGTGGAAGTATTTATACCTTGTCATCCAGTTGCTATACATGTGGAGAAGGTGGCAAACCCCATATGGCAACGGAAAGTTGTGAGAGGTGTGAAGAGTCGTGGAGCTTCCAAGAGTTTTGGGAATGGCTTCGACTGAGACATTTCCACAATATTTACGATCAATTAAAGAATCTTAGTCACTCAATAAAAGATTCCCGTAGACCACAAAGTCAATTTCTACACTGGGAAAAAAGAGATCGACATTGGCTGCTTAAAACGGCCGATGAAATCGGGTTTGAAATTCCGGTCGGAAAAGATGATTCCAGATTCGAGATGATCCACGAATCACTTAACAAGTTGTTACCGACAACCGACAATCGGTCATTGGCCGGTCGATTCGCGATGCGTAGGTTCAGGGATGGCATCTTCAGGAAATCCCCAAATGGGCTTTACCCTTGGGAACATGAGCGTTTGATCGTACATAGAATCAGCTCTTATTATACTCATCAAATAGATCCATCTGCAGTAAACTCGCCCATTGAGGCTCCCACGACGAGTTTTTTTGTACTCGATTGTCCACCCTTAAGTGTTGGACAACATCCCAAGCAAACTATCCCCCCTTAGGACGGTGTTCCCCTTAGGACGGTGTTGATTAGTGTGTTTTCGTAGCGATTGAAATTGTGTGTGTCATCACGGTAGTCCGAAAGGTTAGCCGTGTCACTGACATCAGAGTCATCAACACACCTGGAATTGGCCAGCCTGATAGGAGTGTACCGTTCTGGTTCCTTGGGCAGTTTCAGTAGACGTAAAGGACTTCTGTGTGGATGCTTCGCGGGGATATGATCTTACAGGATATCCAGAGACGCAACCGTGATAGTTACCTTCTCGGTCTCCTCAGGGACCCATATCTGTCTGGTGGGTAACGTATCGAACCATACGCACAGCTACGACAAACAGGTTCTCACCAATAAACTGAACCCACCTGTACCTTGGTTCTAGGGTTTTGCACTACACAAACTCATTTGGTCCGGATATGGATGATAGACTCTGTACGCGCCTTAATGAGGGTATTCCTGGGAGATTTACCGGTACTCCTGTAACGGAATGATTCAAACTTCGTCGTCGAGCTGAAGAGGTTTGGCTAAAGTTAAGATACTTTTAAAGTACTTACTGTCGGAACATCTGCTCTTGAGATTTTCATCCCCTCACTCGGGGGTAGGTCGCTATCCAGGCGATATGGTAAACACCGCACGTGCTCAAGAATGGATTCTACACCGGTGTCGACACCGCACATTCTACACCGGGCTAAGTCAGCCCGTACTTACAGTCGGATACGGGCCTGGATGATAGTGGCCCACTCTAAGGCATAACGCTTGAGACTGGAAGAATGATTACACTGGCAAGTCTTGGTTGGGATGCGCCGGGCGTCTTCCAAGTTGTTGGAGTCGAGACCGTCTGCGAGCGATGTCCGACGACGAAAGGTTAAACAGTCAGAGCAGCGTCGAGATGGGGTTCCCGCAGTTAACAGGGAGATTCAACCAAGCAGCCAAGACATGATACTGGCCAAGTTTCGATCACGCGTTTGAAATGGTACGTTTAAGTGTTCGACGATGCGGTGAACTTTTTGTTTACAAGATTGTGTGATTGGGCTTCGGTCGAGACACATTACGCCCGCGCTCGGTTACGGGGTCTTGGCCAGCCTGTTATAGTGCGAAAGGGAAAGTGAACTCAGCAGGGGGGTCAATTAAACCCAGAAGGTGACGAACTATTTTGTCAAAAAAATGAGAGGCTTGCCGGTGTCACAGTCGTCGTCGCCACCCGTGAGCCTTGTCACGCTCTTACTGGGAGTCGGTCCCGTGCCAGGACCACCACCATCGAGAAACATGACTAAGGGAAAGAGAAGAACTGATCAATTCTACAGAATCGTTGGCTTCCCCAAAGTTGCACAAGGGTGCGGTACTATGGTTGCAGGGGATGATGGCTCGTCATGGCCGGCGAAGAGAATGTGTTTAGGAGTATCAAGCTTTCGGGGACCACGTAAAAGCTTCTTGGACCGTTTCCAAACGTGTTCGACAACAGACTGTTCGACAGCAGACTGTTCGACAGCAGACTGTTCGACAGCAGACTGTTCGACAGCAGACTGTTCGACAGCAGACTGTTCGACAGCAGACTGTTCGACAGCAGACTGTTCGACAGCAGACTGTTCGACAGCAGACTGTTCGACAGCAGACTGGTGTGGAAGCAGACTAGCTTCCACACCGCAAGTGGCTCCCGATAGTGTTATTTCCAACGCTTCCCAGAAACACCAGGTTCAAGCAGGTCCTTTAGAAAGCTGTGGTGATGAAGACACTTTTTCCGCAATGGAAACTACTCCGGCCGCTCCCCCCCCTGGAATGGAGCCTGTTCCTGCATTTCAAATCATTCACCAAGAGGAGAAGGGGTTGGTGGTTGAAGCGTCGCACTTGGTGTGGGCCTATGACACGTTGAATCATGGTTGGTGGCGGCTCGTTCCCTTTGACGTGAAAGGATTGTCCGTATTTGGTCTAGCGGTGAAGGCCCGTGAGTGGAGCCGGGCAAGGAAAGCCAATTATACCAGGGAAGCCGCGTGCTATAATGTGAACAAGCGGTGTCGGTGGATGTGGACTGAGGGAAGTCTCCGTCAGTGGCTGAAGCAGTATCGATCTGGAGATGACCGAGATGCCGTGGGATTCGTCATTCCTCTCGGTGTTCGATTGGGTAGATGTGTCATTCCTTTGGCTAACGTGGATGCTGCGGCAAATGACCTCTTATGTTGGCGATTAGGTAGCTATTATAGAGGGACCCATGTTGGTGCATTCCGGAATAGAGTGAACTACTGGTGGGCGAAACGAGGTCGCTATTTCGGCGAGCCACAAGATGATCCTTTGTGCTTTCGAGTTGATTTTGTGTCATTACGCGAATTGGAAGGTTTCTACTTGAAGAAGTTGGGAGATCTCAAAGTCCCCTTGGAAGACGTCCCGAAGGAAACCAGACGCGTGAAACGGAGACAACGGATTCGCGAACAAGAAGAAGAACTGGGAAGGCGATTATTGCCCCATGGCTTAGGGATTAATGGTGGAACCTCTCATCTGGTCGGTATTTCCGGCCACAGGTTTGCCATTGTGGTAGATGAAGAGCGCCAGCTGCGAATTGAACCTACGTATCTCGTGTGGGCGTACGACGTACTGAACCACGGCTGGTGGAACGCGGTACCCCCTGCTGTGGCGACATTGCCATCCGATCTGTCGGTCTTTGGGTTAGCGGAAAAAGCCCGGGACTGGGTCGAAGCTGACAATATCATCTATACTTTGTCCACTAGCTGCTACAGGTGTGGGGAAAATGGCCAGCACCACGGTCATGATGAGGAATGTGAGAGGTGCGAAAAATCATGGAACCCTGAAGAGTTTTGGGAATGGCTTGCATCGAGACACTTTAAACATATCTGTGATCAATCGAGGGACTCCGAGCAGTCTACTGATTCCAACCGTCCGTTGAATGATGCTAATAGATTTGATAACAAGTTAGATGAGGAGTTCGATGAATTGGACCCAACTCGATTGTCGGAGATGATTAATGCTGTCGGGTTCGAGCTCCCCGAAGGGTATGGCGAATGGAAATTGGTTGTGCCCGCACACGAATACAAAGGGCGTCTGTTCTTGCCTGCAAGACACGACTCATTCGGCTTCCGGTTCTTGGCCTGGTGGCGCCATAAAGTGAGTAAAGCAGCGTGCAAGAAGAGCCTGATGACGACTGCAGCTGGTTACCACCGATGGGAGTACGAACGTCTAGTTTTATACCGCATTAACTCTCGCTCAGAACTTCAATACTAGACTACACGGCAAGTGCAATACGGAGGCCGGAAGTGCAATACGGAGGCCGGAAGTGCAATACGGAGGCCGGAAGTGCAGTACGGAGGCCGGAAGTGCAGTACGGAGGCCGACTACATTGTTCAAATCCACAGGTGGTGCATTTTGTCATAAACTGTTGTTAACAATACCATGCCTACATTCTGTTGAAATAGCTTCTTGGTGCAGACGTTACGAAAGGTATAATACAGAAGGATAATATCCTGTGTCAACTGATGGCATTCGTCTCTTGCATCGTCGTGGACGAACCGGCGGTTTCCAGCCGTGGCCGGGAGAGTATTTATTTCCAGCCGCGACCTGGAGCGTATTTATTTCCAGCCGCGACGCGGATACTGACTGACTGATGTTATCTTGCCGGGTGCTGCCGCGGTCCTTAAGATACACCAGTTGGCAAACCCTTCTATTAGGGGTTAGAAATGGGTGTAGAGTGGGTGATGATGTCCCTCCCGAAAAAAGAATGAGATTGGAATCACCAACTCGGAACATCACCACATTGGTCCAAGCATCTTATGGGGAAATAGACATTGAGGACAATAGTCAATTCTATCCCTTCTCGAACAATCCCTTGGTTCAGCTTGTGGACGAGTGGGGACCCAATGATAATTACTTCGAAGAGCTCTTTGGCTGGGCACCAAGTGACGATACACAAATCGATATTGAAAAGTTTGGCCAGGAACAGCTCCACGGGCCAAAGGACCAACATGGTAGAACTACAGAAACGCCGGAGATTGATATTGAAAACCTCCTTGCGTTTACATTAGATGACAGTGGCGCTGATGACAGCGCTGCGGAATTGACTCATGAAGACTTCGAAAAGCTCCTTGACGATATATTAGATGAGGGTAACGGTAAAGTTGACTCTGAGGTATGGTCGGGGAGTGACCTGGGAGACCTCCTTGAGGCTTTGGACAAGGACGGTGCGGGAAGTTCCGAATTTTCTCGAAGTAAATCCGATAAGCTTCTTGAGCCTTTGGCGGGGGAGAAGGACAGTAGTGGTGCTGCCGACATCGACGATAGTTTTCTACGTGGGCTCGAAGAACTCCCGCCGTCTGGATTACTCGGCCAGATTGAACCAACGCAAGGAAGGCGATATGAGATTGGAGAAGTTCGTAAGTCTGACCAGTTCGGGGAGAGTGTGCTAAAGGGACAGGCGACAGCCGCCAGTTCCACCAGTCTCCGGGACTATTGGAGTGGTGTTCGCTTTGAGGACGTTGTGAGTGAGAGTGTAGTAGCTGCAAACACTCCATCGGGTGTGGATGGTGAGAGAGCGGCTGTAGGCAGGAGCTTAGTTGCGGCAGTTCGGAGAATACCTTTTAGAATTGTTCGGAAGCGTGCTCGAAGACCTGAGAGAGTCATGACCGAGGTAGTGAAAAGTAGGAATATGCGGACTGGGTCCGATGAGAGGAATATGATGGCCGATGAGAGACCTGGATTTGAGATTCAGGCACGTGGAGAGGAGTTTCTATGTATGAGTGCGAGATATCTGATGTGGGCTTACGACGTTAAGAAGTATGGATGGTCGCACTTTGCGGGGTTTGACACAAGCAACTTATCAGTTTTCGGGTTGGCGAAAAAGGTACGTGATTTGGTCAGGCGTAGAGAGAGTTGCCTCATGACCGAACTTACATTGGGGTCAAGTTGTTACGATATTTCCCCAGGACGACGAATGGAGAGTGTAGCTTGGGATAAGAAAAGGTTCCTCACTTGGCTTGACCACATAGACCATGATAACAGTATTGGATCCAGGTGTAACCGACTAACCAACCGCTTTATTCCCGCAGAAAAGGTAGACGAGGCCATTGCTGACGCTCTACAATACTGGCCCGCCGTTGGCACTTTCGCTCGGCGAATTCACTGTTGGTGGTGTGCTCGCACAAAGTATTATAACGATCCAGAATGTCAACCATTAGGTAAAGCTCGTGTCTCAAGGTGGGATTTTGAGCAGCTTGTTATAAAGAAACTTGGAGATCTCGGAGCACCTCTTGAAGAAGTAGCAAAAAGTTGTCGTAGAGAATTGCGAAGAAAACTAATCCTAAAGACACAAGAGCACCTTCAACAAGAGCACCTTCAACAAGAGCACCTTCAACAAGAGCACCTTCAACAAGAGCACCTTCAACAAGAGCACCTTCAACAAGAGCACCTTCAACAAGAGCACCTTCAACAAGAGCACCTTCAACAAGGGCAACAAGAGCAGCATATACAAGTAAAGGAAACAAATTTGCAGGACACAGTTCCTTCAGAACTTGTTGGTGCCTGCGGAAACAAGTTTCAAATAGCGACGGTGGAGGAAACACAATTACAAATTGAACCAAAGTATCTCGTATGGTCATATGATATACATAACAACAACTGGTGGGGTTCCGTACCACACGCGATGCGTGGCTTATCCGTGTTCGGACTCGCCCGTTGTGCCCGCGAATGGATACTAGCAGGAAACGAGCTGCATACGTTGAATGTCGGTTGCTACACGTGTTGCGAAGGTGGTATGACTCATCTGGAAGCTGATGGCTGTGAAAGATGCGAGAGTCCTTGGAACATCGAAGAGTTTTGGGAATGGTTGCGCTGCAGACACTTTTGTGCAGACGATGAAGACGGTGAGAAGACAACAGACGTGCCCAGACTTGGGTTCGATGCACCCGACGTAACCAGGCTCCAGGGGGTGGTGGACCAATCGCGGTTTGCCGCGTCTGTCTGGACGCAGCCCATTAACTTCTTTGTACCACGAGAATCCGATTGTGCCTCACTTCCCTGTAAAGTACGCCAGTGGTGGGATGAAAGACCGCTTGATGCAATCGCAGCCAAGGGCCTGTCTCCCTGGGAATGTGAAAGAATATTCCTGTACAAGCTGAACCGGCTAGCGGCCTCCGCACTTGATGACGCCCGCATTGTCGTAGAAACGCGTGACAACGTTTTTGAAATCGTGGAAATGAAGATGTGGCGTGAAGCCCCAATCCTCTAAAGCAACCTTCAAACTGTGTTGTTAACTGAGTGATGTACTATACTGCGCGCTATATTGTGCTCCTATAGTGCGTGCTGTGCACTCAGTGCTGGGGGGCAGTCATATGGCCGAGAGCACTTGGGCGTGGGCTCGTTTTTTGTCTCACACACACAGCGCAAAAAAGAATAGTTTTTTTGGTACGTGACAGACTCAAGGATGGCTGCCTCCGCTGAAATGTTGTGCTCTATGGCCGCTTTGGTCCTTAAGGACGCTGGCAAGGAAATCACCGGCGAGGCCATCAGTGCTGTGCTCAAGTCCATCAACGCCGAGGTCGAGTCTTACTGGCCCAAGCTCTTCGCTCAGGCTCTCGAGGGGCTCGACATCGACTCTCTCATGACTGCCGTCGGGTCTGCCGCCCCCGCCGCCGCTGGAGCTGTCGCTGGCGGTGCAACGACTGCTGCTGCCGAGCCCGCGGCCGCCGAGAAGAAGGAAGAAGAGAAGGAAGAGGAGGAGGACGACGATATGGGATTCTCTCTCTTTGACTAAGTAACTTTTTAACATAAACGCGGGCAGCTGTTACGGACGGAAGCGTGGGGCTGTGGTCGGGGACTGGCCGGGGGGTAGTGTTGTTGTCTGGCCCAATGGCTGCGGCATGATGTGTGGCCCAATGGCTGCGGCATGATGTGTGGTGTGCAGTATAATTCCCTTCAGTTCTGGCCTGCAGTGTGATGCCCAACAGTGTGTGGCAGGGTGCGACGGAGCACAAGACTGCACCTGTTACGCACCTTGGAAGCAACCATGGATTGCACAAGCTGTTACTCGGAAATCGTCGGTCAAGTCGCGAAGGCGGAAACTTCAGCGCCGGCCACCCTTGGGAAAGGGGTCCCGGTTGCGGGCGGTGCCGTTCCAATGCCGGCCGAGGACACTGTCTCGCGTTCGGAGCTGGAAGAGATTCATGAAGAGTCGTGTTACGGAGCATTGGTGTCTCCGTCGAAGGTTGACATTTGCAGCGGGAGGGGCGAGCAGCTGAGTCTCTGTCCAAAAGGTCCAGCCCAGGGCGATGGCCCAGCCCAGGACGATGGCCCAGCCCAGGACGATGGCCCAACCCAGGACGATGGCCCAGCCCAGGACGATGGCCCAATCCAGGACGGTTGTAGTCCAGCGGAGGTCGACGGCCCAGCCGAGGACGGCGGTCCAGCGGAGGTCGGTGAAGCATGCGCGGCTGCGGCTTCGGCCCCGTCAGGGTCTGGTGTGATTCGCGCAGACGCCCAAGGGCAGTTGGTGCAGAATTTGGCGTTGGCGGATTACAGCGCCTTGCCTGCGGATGCGGTGCCAAAGTTTAACCAGGAGACGCAGGAGTACGAGGCGGATCCGGCGTGGATGGCGCGTTATTTGACGTTGGCGGGTGCGGGAAACGCAAAGTTCGAGGTGGACTCGCGGCGCACGTGGGAGTTGCGAGACGCACCACCACCTCCGCCCCCGGCGGACGTCCTACTGCAGACACCCAAGACGCCTACGGTCGTGATCCCGGGCGAGGTGCCGGGCAGCTACCTCCGACGTGTTTGCTACTGGACACGCGACCGACGTGTCCTCGACGGCGAACTCCAAGACGTCGCCGTCGAGACCTCCTACTACGCGCCTCTCAACCTCCAAGATTGCCCTTCCAGCGCAGAGTTCGTCGGCTGCGACCCACCTTCCGAATTCGCCGCCAAAAACCGCAGTGCACACGCTGCCCGACAAAGGGAACAGGCGGCGGCTGCAGCCGCGGCCGCCGAGACCGCCTTCCAGGTACAAAAGAAGAGACTCTTCGCCGGCCAGTATGCAGACGGCGACTTCCCCACCATACAAGTTACTCTCACCCCGGACCAACTCGCACGCCTCGACCACGATCTCGCGGTCCAACTTGTGATGGAACAACACCCCGACTTTTCTCCACACCGTTTCCAAAGAATCGACTCGTCCGACTCAACGCAACTCCCTATGCAGGCGACCCACACACCCCAGGTACCTTTACACACACCTCAGGTACCTTCGCGACCGTCTCAAGATCCCCACACCAAACCGAGGGATCCTTCGGAACCGACAGACCCACAGCACCCGGAGCCACCCACTGTCCCCGGGCCGCTCAACGTCACGGCCGCTGGCGAGGCGGCCGGCGTGGACGTGGTCAGTGTCGGCGGTGATGGCGGGGGGGTGCCGAGAATGGGCTCTTTGGAGGACCGCGGACCGGGTCAAGAGGCGTATCGCGCGAGGTCCTTCTCGGCACGGACGTCGAGCGAGGCCGCGTCGGCCATTGCCCGGATCAAAGAGTCGGTGGCTCGAATCCAGCCATCGCCGATACATCGAACCGACGTGAAGCAAATGGACCTGCACCCACCCCTGCCACGCTCCCGGGCCACGGGTTCACAGGTGAGACTCCATCCTCCCGCCCCGCTTTATCCCCACAGCCCGCAACAGCCGCTGGGGGTGCAGCAGCAGCCGCAGGGGCCACAGTTACCCAACCACCATGTGTTGACAGATACCACCCAGACCCAAGCAGTTGTAGTCACCCAGCACTCCCGGCAGGGACACCGAGGCCCTCAGCCGTGGAACGGACCTCTCGACGGAGCGGGAAGACGTGGCGCCGGAGTCGTTATGCAGACTCGAGAAGAGTTGCAGCGAATCCGCACGGAGTTGAGGCGGCTTCACGACTCGCACGCGGTCTCTAGCAGAGTCGAAGACGATTCTGTTTTGGAAGACGCACACGTGTGTGGCGGGCAGTACGAGACATATGCGCCGCAGCCGTTCCCCACGTGCGGCGGCTACAGCCAGCCCCAGCGACCGCGGTTGTATGCGCGACCGGCGTCCGCGCAGCCGGCGCGGTTGCCACTGCCCAGCAGCAGCTATCCGTTGCCCTGGGACTTCGAATCACCGCAGCCCAGCCCAACTTACCCCCCGACAGCGACGCCCGGCTACTGGTCTAAGGTGTCCCACGCCCCCAATCCGACTCCCCCGGCCAACCCGTCGCTGCTTTCTCGGTTCTTGAAGTTCCTGAACTGCTGAGCGACACAGTGAGGAGGTCTTGGGTCATTCAGTCACAAGCATGAGATCACGGGGGGCCTGCCTGCCCTTCGACACGAGGCCTGGTTTTATTTGCGTGTTGAATACCTGTGAAAAAACAATAGTCACTAACTACCAATGTACCTCGCACACTTAACTGCTCCACCATTCAGGTGCAGGACAGTCATTATGGCAGCGTCAAACTTCACCCACCGTGACACAGTGGCACGATAAAGGCCCATTCCTTCCGCAGTTGTTGGTCCTCTGATGTGGTGGATTATACTGCAACCTCAACAGCCGGCTCGGTTTCTTGTTGCTCTGCCTTTCGAAGTTCTTTGCCGAGCAAGAACAGGAAGACAAAGGCCAGGCCGAATCCGACGGTGGCTGTGAAGATGAAGTCGCCAGACATGTGTTTCATCCAGCCGCGGATGTAGTGGCGGTAGTGCCAGTCGAAGTCGGCCAAAGGGCCCTGGCCGACCATAAAGTCCACACCGGGTCTCAACTGGAAGACCAGTTCGTGGCAATCGGCCCAACTACCCCAGTAGTCGAAGGCCGGGTTGACGGTCCTTACAGCTAATGTAAAGTTGTGAATGCCTCGACGAATAAAGGGCCCCACGTATGACAAGTACGCCAGAAAGCCTATTACATTCAAGATAGCTGCGGCCTTGACAAACTTCCTCGAATAAGCACAGGACGCAGCAACGCCCAATAACGAGACTAAGATCCCGCCACCCAAGACGGCATAACAAGTAATCGACAGCCATCCATGACCGGGCATCAACTCGTCATGATACCTCCACAGGCGGTCCACACTGAAGATGATAGACCACAATAGTGGGAACACTGCTAGTCGACCAAAATAAAACACCATAGCTTAAAAACTTTCCGGCTTTATAATTACCCCCACCCTGACCAGAAACCGACATCAGCGCCGGGACTTTTGCTCACCCTTCCTTTCGGGTCGACTGTGGCGCTGTGCAGTGGGGGGTTCAATGTTGGGCCAATAGCCGTCTCGGCCAGTGCCCTCTGTAAATGGGTCCACGAGGTGGATCCACGAGATGGATCCACGAGGCGGGTGGGAGAGAGAGAATTGTAAAATTTTAGCAGCATGACCTGGTCCCCGATCCGTCAGCGGCAGTTGTTGACGTTCTTGTCGGTGTTGGCTTGCATGTTGGCAACAGGCATGCTGTTGGCTATAAGCGACCACGGGGTCTTTTTTCCGTTTCAGTGGACTGCTGACTACACAAAGAAGTCGTACGGCATTACTATTGACGCAGGGAGTCATGGAACACGCGGTCATCTGTACGAATGGAGTGGTCGTGTAGAAGACCCACAGAACCCACAGTTGCGGCCTGTGACAGTGCCGATTGAGATCTTTACGTATGAGCCTGGTTTAAAGGGTATTTCGGAGTTTGTGGAGCGGCCATCGAATGTGGGTTCTGAAGTGCTGAAGCCGATTATCGAAGCGATGAAGAAGGAGTTGGATATGCAGGGATGTTCGGAGACACGCTGGGCATCAGTGCCAGTGTACGTCAAGGCCACAGCGGGGATGCGGAATATGGATGCAGACACGGCGGAGGGTATTTTCAACGCCATCCGGTCGTATCTTTTGGACTCGGGTAACCCTTTTGAATTTAAGCCGGATTGGGCCCGTGTCATCTCTGGTGAGGAAGAGGGTGTGTTTGGCTGGCTGGCCGTGAATAGCGAACACTCGACGTTGCTAGAGCCGGCTGTGGGCACGATAGGGGCTCTAGATCTGGGCGGTGCGTCAGCCCAGATCACCTTCATGCCCACGACCGCTTCGGTCCTTGAAGACTTTTACGAAGTGGATCTGGGGGAACGGGTTGTGCGCCTGTACTCTCACTCATTCCTTGGCTACGGCTGGGACGACTCACGAATGCGTGTGACCACCCGACTAGCGATGGGCTCGTTCTTCAACGCGTTGGCGGAGGACGTACATGCATTAAACCAAGATGTTGCGAACCCAAAGGTTATGAGCGCGGACGAGATTGCCAACGCTTTCCTGGCGGGCAACATGGCCTCTTTCAAGCCCCTCACGCACCCGTTGAGTGCGAAGAATGTGAAGCACGCCATCTACCTGGATGCTGCGACCGAACATCTGCCCACCTACGTCCTTCAGGCAGCGCACCCCTGCGTCCCCCGAGGCTATGACGCGTACTTCGACCTGCCCTCGCTCCTATATCCTGACGGCCGCTTCTTCCTGGATATCGACGACCGCGCAATCATCGCCTACATGGCTGCCATCGGCTACGACCTCAGCAATCACGTCGTCACCAAAAACTTCCCGCACGCACTTCTCGAACAAGCCAAGACAGACCCTCTCTCCCACACCTCCCTCAAACCCGTCATGGACAACGTACTCGAAACCTTCAACTACACCAGCTCCGACTCCGCCGCCAAACGCCTCTCGCTCGCCGCGGAAGAGAGCGCACCGTTCCATCCCTTCGTGGAACCGCTCCCCGCACCCAAAATGAAGTACAGAGTTTTGTTCAACGGCAGCGGAGACATGCAAAAGTGCCAAGCTCTTGCCAAACAGTACGAACACCCACCACCACCACTTCACATACCGCTGACTCACCCACTCCTGGCACTGACTCGTCACCTGCGTTTTAGGCTGTTCTACAAGGAGCCTTGTTTCTTGTCTTCGTGCTCTTACAACGGCGTATATCAGCCCCGCGTTGGCGACAGCCGTTTCCTAGCACTGGGCCAGTTCGCTAAGGTCCGCGCCGCTCTCGACATACCGGTGGTCTCCACTCCGAACACCATCGAAAATCGCGCCATGACCGTGTGCGGCACCAACTGGGCCAACATGACGGCCCAGCAGCAGCAGGGGCAGTACGCTCCCTACGGCAAGTCCAGCATTTCCCAACTGTGCTGGAAGGCCGTCTGGACTCATGCGATGCTCACCACCGGCTACGGCTTCGACGGAGACAGCCACGCCATCACCTTCTTCGACATCACCAACCCCGACGGAGCCGCGAAGTCGCCTGGCTGGGCCCTCGGCGCCATGCTCAACGAAGTATCCTCCATGCCCTGGGAGTCAGCCAGAGGACGATTTCAGGCTCCCTTCTGGTGGGCCTTCGCCACCGGCATCGTGCTCATACTACTCGCTTGCCTCCAGGCAGCCAAAATCAAACGCCTCAGACAAAAGCTGCCACAAACCCGCTCCGATATCTACGTACAGTACTCCCCTGCTGAACAACTCATACAGCCCTAGATGATTCGTTCTATGCTACACTGCTGCACAAGGACGCACACTCGACAGGAGACCGATCAAAGGCGTTAGTGTTTAGTCAGCTCTTAAAACAGCGTTTTAATGAATTAGTTTATCAAAACTTCAAAAATCGTCGTACGTTTGGGGCACACCCTCCGTGCCCGACGCGGTGCAGCTGAGACTCAACAAAAACCTGTACAGCGCATGAATCAACGCGTCCAGGGCTGTCGGATCTACGTCGCCCGTTGTGCCAAGCACGGCACTCGTCGCCAAATCGGACAAAGTGCTCAAGGCCGTACTCGCAGCCGTGGAAAGTGTCGAGGCTGTCGCGGGCGCGGTGCTCGGCGACGACGCAACCGTCGTATACACGGGCATAGTTGACCCAACCGTGTCTACAGGGATCGTCGTGGCCACCTCCCCAGGAGTGCTCGCCCGCTGTTGAGACGTGATGAAACTCCCAGACCCCGTCGAAGAGAAGCCGCTGGAACTGAAGCCTCCAGCAGTGTGGTCGCTCAAACCGGCGGTTGGCAACGTCGGCAGAGTTGGCAACGTCGGCAGAGTTGGCAACGTCGGCAGAGTGGGTAATGTCGGCAGAGTGGGCATGGTCGGCATAGTCGACAGACCTGGGAGATTCGGCAGATTCGGCAGATTGGGGAGGTTTGGCAGATTGGGGAGGTTTGGCAGGTGCGGCAGGTTCGGCATACCTGGTAGATTCGGGAGCGCTGTCGATCCCGAACGCATGGTCGGGCCACTGAATGCCGTCGAGCCCGAACTCATGGTCGGGGCGCTCGACATTGTCGTTGGGGCGCTTGACATTGTCGTCGGGGCGCTCGACATTGTGGTCGGGACGCTTGACATTGTCGTTGGGACGCTCGACATTGTCGAGCCTGAGCTCATGGTCGGTGCGCTGGGCGTGGTGGAGGCCGAACCAGTGGATGCGCTGCTGAAGACTGGCAAGGAACTTCGTGAAGCGGTCGGAAGGCTATCAGCTGGTGTAGAATTTGTGAGTCCCGCTGAGCTCGGAATGCCCCCGCTGGTTGTCACTGGGAACGAATAGCCGGGCGGTGTTCCCGCCGCTCCAGATGTCGGCTGCGTGGACCCGGATGTGTATCCTGGACCCGTGGATATTGGGCTGGTACTGAATCCACTTCCTGTGGTGCTAGCCGCGGCGGTTGTTGGCGCAGATGGCCTACTTTGCATGTACTGTTCGAATAGATCGTCGACGGTTACACCTATGGGTGCGTCCACGTTCATATCGAGCCTGTATCGAGCCATTAGCCATTGCAGAAATCCTCGGTCAGCCGTCAGTGCCGTCGGCAGGACTAGTCCCCTGGCGTCCCGGCCTCTAGCGTTCAGTATGGTAAGGACATCATTGGGGCCCATGAAATCAGCAGTTAGATGAGCCACTGGGGCTGGCGCCATGACGTTTGCAGAGGCTCCGAACGATGCAGGCAATTGTTGCGGCTCCCGTCGGTCGACAGCCCCAAAATGAGATGGCCAGCTGAGTTGCGACCTGAGTGGCGCAGCAGCCGGCTGCTCAGCTGCATCAAAAAGAATGTCCCCATAAGCTGGAACGGGAGCGACCACCGAAAATGTAAGGTCGCTAGGCACCGGAGTTGGGGTGGGATGTTGGCCTAAATCCAAGTTGAACAGCTTGACTCTTTTTTCCCTGGGTTCACTTATCCTGGCCGGTCTAAGCTGCGCTTCGAGCGAATGCAAAAATTCGTCAAAAGCAGACTCTTCAGAGTCCTGGTCACGGCAGTATTCCAGGTAATGAGCAAAGGCCGAATCTGGGCCATAGCTGGTCACGACGGCCCGTAACAGCTCCGGACTACAATCTAAGAACATAGATGTCCGTTGATTATGTCAAGATCACGTACCATAAGACTCATTTTCATAGGCACTTCCAATGGCGGTTAAAAGCGTCAATCTGGACAAAAACATGACGAATTCCACAAAAATTCCGGTAGCAGTAGAAAGCGCTTGTGCGCGTGTTTGTCGAACACGTGTGTGCTGGCAATAGTAGGACATTGGCCTACCTTATAATTATTGGGATGGCTAGATAAAAGAGTGTCGTGTCTCGACAACGCCGTGCTCCAGATCTATTGCTTCCGTTTGCCATGAATAAGGTGGCCCAGAGCCTGCAAGAAAAAGCTTGCCCATGTTGTTAAAATCTTACCCATTAATAGTAGGTAGTTGGATGCCTGGCTGTCAGCCGCGTCTATGATCCATGCACTGTCCATATGATCAAATTGGATGGATTTCGTTAGCTTCATTCCCGTCTTATTGAATATATGGAGTATGACACCAACATCCTTGGCGTTTCGAAACAGCACGATATAGTCTTGAGCAACGTATATGAGAAAAGGAGCGCTAGCTATGGCCTGCTCCTGGTCGCCCTTCTGAGGCTCGCCGGCGATGTTAGGTACATCGGTTACCCTCGCATTGCCAGCGGCACCTAGCCTCGTGTTTATGGTACTTACGTAGCTGACTTTCAATATCGCCTCTTCATTGACGCTCGGCACAGCGGCAGTGCTGCTGGTTCCAGTATCTAAGCTAAAGTGATTTACATACCAGCTAGATCCTCGACCACTTGAAAACCAGATGCTATTATCATTTTGATCATATGCCAAGGTTGTCAACTGCGCATCGCCACATATGCTTGTCAGTTCATGCCCGTTGCTACCTAGACCCTTTCCATCTGAAGCAACCTCCAACAGGTCGTCGTATGTATGCAGAGTGTAGCAATCGCCAGAAATACTGGAGCACGCGTTTTGGTCTAGACTTTGCAAGAAATTACGTTTCGAGCAAGCAAGACCATTGGTCTGTATCAAAGCAACATAACACATTCCTGTTGCGCAGTTAGCGGATTTTGTTGTAAGAGGTACTATCTTACCGTTCACCCGACTAACCATAATGTCATGAATAGGCTGCGTATCATTTTTAGCATATTGCTGTGAATAGGCGAATGGTCTGCCATCGAGCGACTCGTAACCATTAACATCAAACTCATCTTGGACATTCTTCTCGTCCATCTTTATCGTCTGATGCCAGGATACAACGGTATCAGGCCACAGACTGAAGAAGACAACCCGGGAATTAGACGATTTGCACGTCACTACAGTATGCGCCCATCTGCTGATATCAGTGTTCTTCTTTAGAGGCGCACTTGGCATCATTGCCTCATCCTGCAACCTAGTCAGCAACATTGTAATCAACAGCAACACAATTCCAGCGCATACTCGAATACCTTGAGCCTCCCGCCGGGTATTAGAATCCAACTGATACATCCCCTTTTGTCCTTTTATTTTACTCTACACACACGCTATACCCGCTACTACGTGTCCGCTACTATGTGCGTAATAATTGCTGTCTGACTAATGCCGACTAAAACTAGTGTCCCAGACACGCCTGCTTGAGCAGCCCCGTGATTCAAATTAGGCCGCAGACATTGCTGCCAACCAATTTCTTAATAATATATGTCAAAGGTCAAACGGCCTAGAAATGAGGATGCTGCATGGATATCCGAAAGTCCTAAGAAGTCGAGAAATCCTGCCACCACTATTGGAAGAAATCCATCTAGTGCCAGAAATCCATCTATTGCGGGAAATTCATTACCTGTCGGAATTTCGTCCAAACAGAGACTTACTTTTCATTCAACTGTAGGAAGTTTGTCGGCCGGAAAACATGTGTCAGTGAGCGCAACCAAAGCAAGCCATGAGAGCCCAGTGTCAGTCAGCGAGTGGCAAACTTTACCCGTATTTGCTCATCAGCGTAGTATTATCAATGCTGTTAAGACAAATGATCTCGTCATATTAGCAGGAGATACGGGATGTGGTAAGACCACTGGGATAGGGCATTTGCTGCTAAAGAACCATTTGAAGCGCTATGGCAAACCTCCCAAAATATGCATAACTCAACCCAGACGGGTAGCTGCTATTGCGTTGGCACAGCGCGTGGCAAAGGTTGTTGAAAGTGACCAACAGATATCGCAGCTTTATGACGTGGCCCACCAGAAGAATCCTAGGATCAAGAAGCCCAACTGGAACGTGGGGGGGATAGTTGGCTACAGGGTCCGTCATGATGACAAGGTGTCCTCTCAAACGGCTATAAGCTTCGTTACCGATGGCTTGCTAATTCGTGAAGTGATAATGCACTCTAATGGTATGCGGGATACGCAATCGAAGGAACGTTCGAAGCAGAATGAAACAATGGAGGACATCTCTATTTCCAAGAACATCAAGTACGACTATATTGTTATAGATGAGGCACACGAAAGATCCATACGGATTGATTTGTTGCTGGGTTATATACGACTTGTCCTAGCCAGTGGAATGGGTAAGTTCAAAGTGGTTATCATGAGTGCTACTATGGACATAGACACTCTCCACAAGTTCTTTAGAGGGCCGCGTAACGTAGGGCCGCCTAACGTAGGGCCGCCTAACGTAGGGCCGCCTAACGTAGGGCCGCCTAACGAAGGGCCGCCTAACGAGCGTTTAGTTAAGTGTGATAATTCCTCGAGTCGTCAGCCGAACGAGAGTCATCTGTCCTCAAGGATTAGAATGGACTTTGTGGCAATCCCCGGTCGTACGTTCCCCGTTACAGCACTGTTTGCAACTCATGCATTTGAGGATATCGTGTCGGCGTGTGTCGCTAGTGCAATTCGAATAATTACGGAAACCGATGAAGGAGACATACTGATATTTTTGCCGGGTACTGAGGATATCAATTCAGTATGCCAAGGCATAGAGAAGGGGATCGAAGAACTCAGGGATTGTCAACTGGCCTACAAATCGATCGAGCGCGCTATTGTCGGATTATCTCAGAATAGGGAGGATTACCGTAAATTGTTGGAGGCGGAAGATCCTAGTGAGTGTCTTCAACAGCTTTATGGTGGGTCGAATAGAACTCAATTTGGCGAACAGACGACGATGCAAATTAAGCGGTTCCTGGAAGAGAGTCCGATTTCAGTGAGCGCAGCTTCGGTGAGCTGTCAGACCAGACGAGGTGACGACTATACCGCCAAGTTCCACTTAGCGGAGTCAATCGTGGTACTTCCGCTGCACGCATCCCTTACTGGAGAGCAGCAAAGCCGCGTATTTCACCTATCTCCACCGGGCGGCCGTAAAATCATAGTTGCTACCAACATTGCCGAAACGTCGGTGACGCTCCCTCAAGTGCGGTACGTGATCGACAGTGGGTTGGTGAAACAGAGGAGAGGCGACACTCTGAGGGTCGAGCCGGTGAGTCAAGCGATGGCGCTGCAGAGGACCGGCCGCGCAGGACGCGTGGCAGCTGGCATGGCACTACGGTTATTCACTGAAGACAGCTTTGATAAACTTGAGGCCCAGAGCGCGCCCGAAATCCAACGAAGTCATTTGGAAGACTATGTTCTATGGCTGAAGGCTTGTGACATGGTTCAAGTCCCTCGTAACAACGGCGACGGAGATACGGCCAACGCCAATGGCATCAACGCCAATGGCATCAACGCCAACGGCATCAACGGCAATGGCACGAATGATAATGACGCTAACGGCAACCATTATGGTGCGTTACAGAGATTGCTGGGGGCTCAGGATGTCAGGGATCTAGTGATGAAATTTCCAGTCCCAAGTCCTCCTGCAGTTTCTGAAGTGGACCGGAGTATCAACACATTGAAAACAATAGGAGCCTTGGATAAATCTTGCTCTCATCTCTCTAGAAAAGGGTATTTAATTAGCAAGCTGCCTTTGTCAGTAATGTGGGCAAACTGCCTGGTTGACACTCTGTTCAATGATCCTGAGTGCTTAGGGATAATGATTATTATCGTAGCCATGTGTTCGAGCGAGTACAACTGGTTCGACAAGACCACCGAACATGATTTTCGAGTGGTAGTGGCTCGACAAGCCATTATGGACCCGGTATCGGACCATATCGGATGGTTGTCATTGTATTGGAACTGGTCCAAGGCGTTTGACAAAAGGGCCTTCTGCAAATTGGTCAGAGTTGATGAAAGGCTATTACGACGAACATCCATGACCGTCGACCAATTACGAAACATTATCCTGAAGGACGCAGACTTCGGCTGCCAGCACCATATAGTGGACCTGATGGAACGGAAAGCCAGCGGCATAATAAACCATGAGGAAATCGTACAACGGGCTTCCAGATGCCTTTTGAGATCCTTACCCATGAACATTGCCGTCAAAAGGGACGTCGTGCAGGACAACAAAGAATTCGCTGAAGTCACCTACGTTAACTCAATCACCAAGGAAAAACTGTTTATCCACCCCAGCAGCTCCATGTTTCTGTTCAACACGAAACGACCAGAGTAAGGTTACACTGCACCCATACCTCTCAAGATGGCTCATGTACTCTTTCCAGATTTCTCGTGTATTCTTCCGTAGTTGAGACAAGCAAAGCATATATGAGAGACGTCACAGCAATCAGCCCCGAAATTGCCGCAGAAGTCCACAGCGTTATAAATCACCCGAAGCCTTCTCCACACAGGCGTTAGTCACCATCCCCCACGCGACCGGGCGTCGACGACAAACTCACCGTTCGACGACAGTTTCATCGCCTAGCACCCACCGTCGCACCGTTTGCCGACCCGATTTGAGCTGACAGACCCATTGAATCGGCTTCGGGCCATTTATGCAAACGCGTGTGCTAATGTCTTCGATCTTTGCGTCAGATGGCAAAGATAGCTTGCAGGACTTCAGTAATGACGTGGAGGCGGTGGAAATACATGTCAACGAGCTCAGCGTCAAGGTTTCTAACCTCCTCAACAACGTCATGAGCTCCAAATCCAGCCAAGACTGCTTGCAAGCACTGCAGAAGAGCCGGGACGTCATCGAGCGAGCCAAAACACGCGACCGAAAGTAACTACTTCCTTTTTGTCCTACAACATATCCGCGAGCCCTGTTCCAACTCCTTGTAGAATACGCCTTGAACTTGCTTCTGCCACCACCGAGGTACCCACGGCGCTGCGGATGCAAAAAAACAAACTCAGCAGCGCCCTCGAAACCAAAGTCAAACAGTTCAACCAGCTGTCTAAGCAAATCGATAACGCAATAGAACGTGCCGCCAAAACACCACTTGCGCGCTCAGCGTCGCCCTTGCCTCCCTTCCTCACGCCCGAAAGACGAGCAGACCAAACATCCATTGTCATCAACACTCTCGACAACACAGACAACCTCCAGACGCTGAGACAAGTCCACCAGGGACTCGAAACAGTAAGTACTCCGTCCTCACCTGGCACGTCCTTCATAGACCCAACAAATCTTTGACGAGCTGGACTGCCTCGTTCGCCAGCAACAGCAGCAGTTCGGGACACTGGAAAGCGCGGCCGCGAATACCAAACACTTCACCAAGTAAGAATGTCCGCGCACAAAATGATTCCGATCCAGAGAGGCCTCCGAACAACTCCACAGAGCATATACAGACCAGCGGCGGCGCGCCCGCAGGACCTGGATCTGCGCCTTCATCCTGGCGGCGCTGATTTGCTTCTTCCTTTGGCAGAGGCATGTCCCCTCTCCGGTGACCCCTGTCTTGGCCGCCCCTAGCGACGACTCGGACATGCAGGCCGCAGAGGAAGCCATACGGCTATTACGACATAAATCTGCTTCCACTTAACTTTTGCTCGACTTATCTTGAGCAATCACTTCCTTGAGGTTGTCAACAAATAATGCCGCTGCCGGCTGGCCGGGGCTCAGCCTCATACAGCTTATGATGCTCCTGCCCCATGCTGTCCACCGTGGACACCATATCGGCACGGTCCAGCATCCCCCTTTCCAGTGTCGGCGCTTGCGCATGTTCCGCCACACACATCTGCATCCTATCCTCACTCGTGTCCGCCCATGATTGCTGAGTACTCCGGAGCTGCTCCATGTGCACAAAAGCGGCAGGATGACCGTACAATGGCGGCCATATCTGTGATGCTTGGTGCACTTCGTCCGCACCCTCGTTGCAGTAAGGCTGAGCCCACAAGGGCAGCTTCGGTGCAAAGGTTTCCGGGCTGCCGTAACGCCGTCTCTTCTTGCGATTAGAGCCTCCCGTGGGAGTCATATTCGACTCATAATCATGTGCGCTGACCCCTTGCTGCTGGAGTATTCCTTGCTCCTGCAGCGCCTGATCAGACGCTTCCATTAACTTAACTAATCTAAATTGTATAGCCATTCGCCTAGCTTCTTCGAATCCGTAGTCATCTACAGAAAAGTTCTTAGTCTTTCGCTTGCCTTGGCCGTGCTCTCGCCAGGTTGCTCGCCAAATTCGCCGCTGCTTGTCAAAGTAAACGCCCACAACCCTGCCCTCCGGAATGGCGGTGGCTTGCGCCAGCGCCATGTTCGTCGCGTCCACTAAGGGACCATCCATATGGACCGCCCCATCTTCGCGGGACATCATGGAACCTATAGAGTGTTGCCACCTAAAAGAGTGACATACGTCCCTTCCCAGCTTCTTACCCGTCGCCCCAAGCAGTTGCACCGTACTGCTCCATAGGTAGATGCTGGCCGTAAACAGGAGGTGGATTGGTTTCGTCAAGGGGATTGGAATTCCAGTCATGGTTAGTCGGTATACACTGCTCTTGGGTCATCCTATAGCTGACAGGAAGCTCCGGTTTAGGATCGTCAAGATATCCAGCACAGTCCGATTTATAGTCGTTCACTTCCGTAGAGGCCTCTTGTGAAGAAGAGTTAACCCGAGTAGATCGTTTCCGCTGCACCATCGGCCCTGGACCTACCAAATAAGCGCCGCACACACGTGTGCTTATTCTCGTTTAAGCTTTCTGACGAATTTTGTAATCCACCATCTCTCAGCTGAGCGCCTAATTTTGGAAGCAAGCCTAAAGAGGGTACCTTACGGCGAAACGGACTTTACTCACCATTTCTTTATCACTGTCACTCGAGAAGTAAGCGGCAAGAGGAGTACGACGCATAAGGGACCGAATAATACAAGCGCGAATGAAGGAGATAGGACGGAATGGTTTCCCGAGAGTGGCCCGGTGAGCTGCAGAAGTAGAGAGATTATGGTGTGAAGGGAACCTTACTTGATTGAATCTCGAACCCTCATCTTTGATGCTGAGATAGTTCGCGACATTCAGCATATCAGCATCCCAATGTTCCGTCGCTTGTTCACGTTGATCAGTAATAAACTGTAAATGCTCGTCCGAGAAAAGCTGCTCGGTGGTGGTGTTGCTTCTCGAGTTTGGTACGTTGCTGACATAGCGAAGCGCATTTTGTAAATAGACCAAATCTACTGTTTTGCTTGTAATGAGGATGATGTCTTCACTGAGTTTCGCGGCGTATGGTAGCTCGGTCGTGCATTCCAGTGCTTGCAGCCAGACGATTTCCTTATTACCGGCTATTGTATCAGTTGGCTCTAGAATTCTATCGGGTATGATGGCCTCCGCAGCGAGCTGGTGCCATCGTTGTGTGCGCGAGTAGAGATCATGTGTAATGCCCAAATCCTGTTTGCCCAGTTTGTCGCTGGCGCTGTACTCGCAAAATTCTGAAAGTATGCGATTTTTAGTGTCCACGACTTCCATTTTTAGTTGGATGTCTTGCGTGTTCCATTTCAGGTTCTCAGCTACATCTTCAATGCGAGCTCTGTTATGATCAACGAACGTCAAATAGACCTTGCTCGGTACGTTATCGGACGGTTTACTCCTGGTAATAGTAAGCTTTGACACAGACGTAGGAATGGAACCCGTGGCTCTCTTTGCTTGTGTATATAAGACACCAAAAATGGGAGAAGCGTGCGCCATGAGCAGAATTCCTATTACTGCATACCATACAAGGGAGAACCAGTACAGCTGGTTCCACAGCGGTATTACAGCACTCTTGGGCTCATCAGTCTTGCCGTGAAGCAGTGTCCTTATCTTTGTTAGCATGTAAAAATGTTCGTTTCAAAAAACCCACTGGGGCGCTCAAGCAAATCCAAATCCTTCTCGTCCTTCTGTTATAGCTTGAAGGAGCTTTTGCTTCATGATTTCTTTGGACTGGTATTCAGGTAGATCCAGTTGGTTGAAACATGTGTGTGCCGCCGGTAGCCTATCTTTGCTGTGGGCGCGTGTGATAGTGAATTTTTGGGGTCCGTTGGCGCCCATGAGGTTTTTGAAGCCTCCGATGGGTACCTTGGAGGTGCCGGTCGTAAACTGGAGGAAGGTGGCCAGTTGGTTTTGGTCGAACGACTCTAAGATCTCCCAAAACCATATTATTTGCGGGTCTCGCATGCGGTAGTTGCTATACAGCGTGCTGTCCTTGAGGTCCTGCAAGTCTATGTTGGGTAGGCCGCTGATCATGAGTTCCAATTCCTTGTCGTCGAAAATGGCGATCAGGTCTTCGGGGATTAGTGAGCAGAAACCGCTAAGGAACGACTTGATCTGGCGTTCGATGCCGTGCAATACCTTGAACTCGCACAGTAGTCGAATGTACTCGTGTTTATTCGCGTCCGTGACGCGTTCCTCGGCGCCGCCGGGTTTAAGCTCATGTGTTTTGACTTCGCCGAATTCGTCGGACTCGGCGATGAAGCGCATGTCATCAAGTCCCAGGTCTTCAAGTGAGTGATCCAGCAGCATCTGCAGATTCTTGTAAAACTCCGGGTCAATGGACTCGGCGTCGCTGGGTACCAATTTGCGGCCGAGGATGATCTTGTAAAAGGGGCGCGTAAAGTAGGCGTCCAGGTAGTAACCGTCGAAGAGTGCCTTGGCAATGATGAGGCCGCAGAAGTGGAAGAATTGCAGGTGATCGGGCGAGACGTAGCTCAGCGGGTTGGGGTGATTAAACTCGGACTTGCCACCACCACGACGGAAGAGTGCGTAGTTGGGGTTAAAGATTTCCCGCGACAGGATCGAATACCATTCGCGAGTCAACCCGCCTGCGTCCACACCCTCTTCGCCTTCAAACGCGACCGTGAGTCGTCCGCGCAGATCCGTGCGATGACGCAGCGCGTTGAACGTGTCCACAAACACATCGCTACGACGCACATTCACGCGCACGGGCAGCGAGCCGCTCTGTTCCTTCAGTTGGCGCACGCGGCTCCGGAAGTAGTGGCGCTTATTGTCGAACCAGACGAGCGTGGGCGCGAGGTACATCAGGGGCGAAAGAGAGGAGACGCCGAGCGAGAGCTGTTGGCGCATGAGTCCATTGATAGCGATTTGGTGCTGCACGCAGAAACGCAACAATCGGTCGTGCGAGGGACTGAGACCCTGCTCAGTTTCGCCGTGCAGGATCTTACGCACCGTCTCTTCGAAACTCCTCAGTCCGGCCGCGCGGAAGAGCTCAGGCTTCAAAGCCGCACCCTTCGCATTACGGAACTCATCTCGCGCGCCGCACTTGATCTTGGCGTTGTTCGCCGCACTGCCCACGTTCTCCAAAACCGCGCCCTGGAAAAAGGCTGGCAGCAAGTGAGTCTGTCGCAACTCCGCCGCCACACACACTGTGTGCACAAACACGTACGCCTCCAACGCAGGCACCAATCGACTCAATACTACGGGCATACTCCCCACCGCCGGTGGCCGAGCAACTGCCGCACTTCGCCGCGTAGCCAACCGAGCTGGCAAAACCACCGGACTCGCTGTCGCCGCCGCCTCACTGTCCTCAGTCACCTGCTTATTCACCAACTGCGGATATGCAGCAGACACTTCTGCAAACACCGCAGCCAACGCCTCCCACAAACCAGACGCCACGTCCAACCGTCCAAACAACGGAGCCAACCGCGTCAACTGACTCTCCGCCGCCGCCGTCGGAACCTCCGCCTCCGGACTCGCCTCTGCCGCACGCTCATCACCCATCGCCAACACGCGTTTCGCCGTGTCCGGCAACAATGCAAAATTCTTCTCGCTCTGCGACAACGTCGCCTCACACGTCGCCTGCAACAACTTCAACAAATTCGCCAACGCCTGATCCGCCTCCGCCAACGCCCACGGCGGCAACACGCCCCTAGGCTCGCGCCGCCGCTCCGCCGCCAAGTCGTCCGCAAACGCCAACGACTCAGACGTGTCCCGCAAAGCATCCACCGCCTCCCGCATCGCGCACACCAACGCTTTGAAAATCGTTTGCTCAATCAACGTCCGCTTCGACGTACTGAAGAAACACACACTCGTCTTGCCCACTCGTGTGCGTGCCCATGTGCGGGGTGTGAGCCCACGTGAGTTATTACTTATACAGTCTGTTCACAGCACCCATCAACGCAGTGGGGCCCTGTGTAGATGTGTTCGTCAGCCGCAGCCACAGTCTCCTGTCTTCCGGCACCGGCCCCCTCTCCCGCAAATATGCGGCCATGACCACAGACTGCAGCTCTTCGTCCGTCAGAACGTTCAGCGTCCGGTCCGTCCGGACTTCGTCCGGCGAGGAGAGAAGCATGTTTACAGTGTTGCACAGGTGCGTCTTGAGCAGCATGTTGCTGGAGTAACGCGCACTGCGCAACATCTGCACAAAGAGGCGCGACGGCGGAATCAGATTGGGGGTCGCCGCGGAATGGGCCGTCGCGGAAGGGGCGGTGGCGGAAGGAGTAGGCTCAGCGACAGGCGGTTCCTCCAGCCTCGTTTTCTTGGCGGGTCGCTCAGTGGAAGACCGTTCGGAATGCTTGCCGGAACGATCATTGCTCGAAGCCTGGCTCGAAGCCAGAGGTGCGGTTCCCGCGCGTACAAGAGTGACAGGGAGCCTGTCCTTGTCTTGTTCGCCTTTCACGTCCTCGTCGCCTTCCCCGGCTTGTGCCTCCTTGCTGTCTTGTGCCTCCTTGCTGTCTTCTGCCTCGTTGCTGTCTTGTGCCTCGTTGCTGTCTTGTGCCTCCTTGCTGACTTGCGCCTCCTTGCTGACTTGCGCCTCCTTGCTGACTTGCGCCTCCTTGCTGACTTGCGCCTCCTTGCTGTCTTGTCCATCCTTGCTTCCCTGTTCGCCCCTGGGGTCTTGTTCCTCGTTCCTTTCAGTGGGTTCGCCTTTGCGCGCGAGTTCGAGTCTGCGTCTTCGGGAGAGTTGTTGGGTGCGCACTGGGTCAAAGGTTTCGGGGTGCGGGAGGGCGGTGGCGCAGACGTGGACGACGGCGGCTGGACAGGTGACGAGGAGCGACTGTAGGTGTTCGAGAACACGGGTGGCAGCGACCTGTGCAGCGGGCGTGGGATCTTCGGCCTCGTAGGTCGTTCGGTCATCGGCGGTGGCGGTTAGTTGGGTGCCGGTCGACCACCGACCTGGACCCCCGACGGACCACCCACGGACCGAGTCCCAGCGCCCGTCCCAGAGGTCGGGTGCGGCATACCAGAGGACGACGGTGAAGTGGCCGACGAGCAATTGCGCGGCCTCAGCACTGGCGCAACAAAGCGCATGGAACAGTGCGTGCAGCGCCTTACGACTCGGCGGACGACGTGCATCCAACAACCGCAACACACCTCCCAACGCACCCGGCCCACCCAGCACCGACTCGCCCGCCGCCGGGAACCCATTCCGCCACTCCCGCGGCTCCAGCACACACAAACGAGCTCGCACCTCCGCCGCGCCCTCCCGGAGAAACGCCACCGGCACCAACGGCGCAGTCTCGCGCACCGTCTCCGTCTGCTCGCGTGGCCGCGTCACCTCGATCCGGCTCGGCTCCGCACCCAATGTCACCAACAGGTTCGTAATTCGATCCATCACTGACGATATGCTCCCACCGAAACCTGTTCCCATACTCGCACCTCCAAAGCCAAAGCCGAAACCTCCTGAACCCCCAGCACCTGCGAGGAAGGTCTGGCGCACGGCCTCGGTAAGTTCCTCGGGCAACACGGTCAGCCAGAGTTCGGAAATAGCGCGGAAACGCAGACTCCCGTCGCCACGACTCGGCTCCCGGGCTGTCGCACTCGCAAACACCAACTGCGGCCTCTCGCCCGCCGTCGCCAACTGCAACAACCCCTCCGCCGGACCCAACGAACGACCTAGCTCCGCCAGCGCTGAAACGCGGAAATTCGCCACCTCCGAAACCAACCGCGACGGCGCCACCGCCCCCCTATCGGTGGTCGCTTCTGCCGGCACCTCTGTGGTTTCACTGCCCTTCCAGGCCTCGTAGATAGCCAGGTTCGCCGCGCGAATCAAGTCCAAGCGACTTGCCGTCAAACGCTCTAACGTAGACGCGATCGCCTCTTCCTGCAGGTCCTCGGGCAACGACTCCACCACTCGCATGTCCAGCTCAAGGAGTACCGCCAGCTGCCGCTCCGTCACGCCCAAACCGAAGGCCAATGACCGGAACGCGTCGCTCTCCAACGTCACACTCGTCTCCACCGGCTCCGCCAACAACGCCGCCGGGTCCCCTTGCCCTTCATCCAGCCCTTGGTCCGGTTCTGCATCCGGCCCTTGCCCTCGCCCTTCGTCCGGCCCTTGGCCCGGTCTTTGGTCCGGCCCTTCGTCCAGCCCTTGGTCCGGCCCTGTGCCTGGTCCCTCAGGTCCAGCCGCAGCGACCGTTTCGGGCCCGCGGGGCGGCTGAGTGGCCGTGGCGGCTTCCAGGGCGCGGTTCTCACCCTCCACTGCGTTCTCGGTCAAGTTCTCCACTGGGGTCTCGGTCAAGTTCTCGGCCGGGTTCTCGGTCAAGTCTCCGATGACGTTCCCACCGCTATTCCCAGTCGAATTGCCACTCGCGTCCGCGTCCGCGTTGCTGTCCGCGTTTGTATTTACGTCGCCGTGTTGGTTTCGTTGTGCTTTAGCTTCGGCTTGTTTGACGGCGTGGTAGTAGTCGAGTTTCTCTTTCCAGGGAAGGGTCGCGAAGGACAACATGTCTTGGCTCCGTGCCGGTTCGTGTGTAGTGCGTTGCCAGTGCTTGATTTTCATTTGTCCTTTCTCACACTTGCGTAGGAGGTGTAGGCTAAGTTGCGCGTCATCTTCGCAGGTGGGTGGCAGCCAGTGGCCGGCAGCCTTAACCTGCTGCCACCAAAGGGAGGCGGGGGCGTCTTGAATCGAGTCGCTTCCGTCGAAGACCTCGGGCAAACGAACACCCGGCTCGGTCCGCCAATCCTTCTCAGCGACCAACACAGAGTGATTCGGATGGGGCCAGAGATCCTGCAAGACAGCGGGTCCACTACAACATAGCGTTGCTACACCCACGGCCGTCGTCCCATACTCAGCCAAACCACTCGCGGGCCGCACGCGTGCGAAACGCCACCACGCACCCCCCACCTCCGTCGCCGGTGCACTACGCCACACCACCGGCTCCGCCTCCTCCTCCAACCCTGCTCCAGCCGGCTCGTCCGCCTCCAGCTCGCCCTCCTCGTCACGCACACGCGGCACCTCTTCACCCTCCTCATCCAGCTCGTCCTCCTCATCGGTCAACAACTCTGCAGAATCAAACATGGCCTCCAACGCCGTCTCCTCGTGCGGCAACTCCACCCGCGCTGGCGGCTCCTCCTCCTCCTCCTCACGACCCAACTCCGACTCACCGTCCCCGCTCTCGCCCTCCTCTGCATAGAAACCCATCTCCTCCTCGTCCTCCTCCTCTTCCTCCACGTCCCAAGCGAACACACCCTCATCGTCCAACCCAAATTCGTCCAACCCCTCCTCCGAGTACACCTCCTCCGACTCAGACTCCGTCTCCGACTCCTCCACCGCCATCAACGCCACCGCCTCGTCCGACGACTCTTGCCCCGCCTCTGCATCCGAACTGGCCCCGGCCTCCGTTTCCGGTTCAGCGGCCTTCAGCGCCGGCGGGACCTTGCACTCCACGTCCAGCGCCTGCGGACTGCAGAGCAGGGCCAGCGCCCAGGTCCAGACCTGCGCGACGAAGGTTGTGTCGCCGCGGCGCAAATCCAGACGGCTGAGCAACTTGGCGCCAGCTGTACGCAGGAACTGGCGCTCGGCCGCCGAGAACAGCGCCTGGCTCACAACCTGTTCGGTCTCATCCACTAGCGCGACCGGAGTGGGCAGCGCGAGCAGTCCGTGCAGCAGAACGCCGCTGAAGAAAGCTAACACCACTAGCCGGTCTTCCGCTTCCGCGGTCTCAGCCTGTGGCGTCTCCGCCTGCAGCTCCGTGTCCGTTTCGCGCGGCCGTTTGCCGCGCGCGTGAAGCAGAGCGCGCACGTAGCCGAGACACTCGGTGGAGAGTTTGCGGCGCAGGTCGAGGTTCTGCTTGGACAGGAGCACGAGGAGCGCGGCAAGCTTGAAGAGCAGTCCGGCCTCGGGGCCGAGCGTCTGGAGTTGTGCGGCGGACACGGTCGCGGAGAGTGCGACGTTCTGCACCAGCGTCTCGGAGGGTCCGAGTCGGTTGCAGGCGTGCACTCCGTCGCAGAAGGGCGGGAGGGCGAGGGCGAGCAGCCGCGGACAGCAGTCGCGCAGCAGCTGGCGGTACAAATTGCCAGCGCTCATACTCGCCGGCCACTCGAGGCAACCAGGATCGACCACACCCGGGTTCGAAGCCGAGCTAGTGCGCACCAGCGCCTTCTGCAGCCCCGGCGAGGCGTCCGCCAAAACCTGCGGCGGCGGCGTCTTAGTCAGTGCCGCATGCAACTCCGGCTGCCGACAGAACAACTCCCATAAGACCATCAACGTCGAGTCGCAACTCATGCAAAACGGGTAGAGGAACCCGCGCTTCGCAACACGTCCGCATGTCGCACGCTCGCGCACACTCTCCAGAAAATCGCCCACCGTCAGCACCTCCTCCGCCGGCAAGCCAACCGCCGCCTCGAACGGCGGGAATCGGTACTCTCCGCCGCCCTCCGGTTGGTCGACCCAGAGAAACCGCGCCGCATTCTTCAGCGCCACCAGCGGCATCTTGTAACACACCGCGTGCACCGAAGAAAACAGACGCAGGTGCTGCAACAACAACGTCACGATCTGCCAACCGTGGCTCGACGAACGCCCCGCCAGAAACCGCGCCAGCCGCGCCTCTCGCACTTCCGCCGGCGCCAACTGGACCAACACGACCTCGTCCGCACGCAGCCCCGGCCCCGCGGCCGTAGCCGCGGCGTCAGCCGCGGGCGAGGCCTCTTGCGGCTGCCCGTCTTGCGGCTGCCCCTCTGTCACCGACCCGAGCCCCTCGGGTTCGGTCGCCGCGGGTTTCTCCTTACGGAGCACACACATGGCGGCCAGCACGCCTTCGAAGAGCGGCTGTGAACGACCGAGCGCGGCGGCACACAAGCGGGTCAGTTCCGGGACGGGCAGCACCAGCGTCTTGGCGCCGTTGCCGAGGTCCATTTCGGCACCCGCGGTGAGGAAGGCCTTGAGCACGGCGTTCTTCATTTCTTCGGTTACAAGTTTGGCGTCCTCAGCGGCGAAGCGGATGCAGTGGGCGAGGTCCTGGGCGAACATGACCGAGTCCGCGTTCTTGGGAAGCCGCAGCAATGCGCCCAGGCCCTTGGGCAGGAACGCGAGCTCCACGGGCAGGTGAAGTCCCGAGGGCGCGCCTCCGAGCAGCTGGGCCGGTGCAACTCCCGGGTGCGCCAGCACGCGATGGCTCAACAAAGCGCCGCTGAGCCGACAAATGCGCACCAGCGGGACCAGCGCCGCCATTAGCAGTCGCGCCTCGGCCGGCCACATCCCACTCATCACACTCGCGATGTCCAACAGCAAGTTCAACACCTCCTTCTGCGGCTTCGCCTCCGCAGCCGTCTCGGGTTTCGTCTCCGCAGCCGTCTCGGGTTTCGTCTCCGCAGCCGTCTCGGGCTTCGCCTCCTCAGCCGTCTCGGGCTTCGCCTCCGCAGCCGTCTCGGGCCTCGCTTCCGCAGCCGGCTTCATCTCCGCCTTCGCGGTCTCCGTCACGGTCGTGGCCTCGGTGGGGGCGGGTTTCTTGCCGGGTGCCGACCAGTCGCCGAGAACCTTGAGCGCACCGGCGAGCCAAGAGGCGCTGGCTACCCAGGCAGGTGGCATCTGGAAGGCGGCGGCGGAGCCGTAGACGCCACTGGGTTGGCGCCGCTTGGTCTTCTCGCTGCTGGAGTAGGGGCCGGGCCGGTCCTCCTCGACGCTGAGGCCGAAAGCCGGTGAGAAAGGGTCGGGCAGCAGCGCCCAGGCGGGCACGCCGACGCCGTCGCCAGCGGGGTAGACGAAGCTTTCCTGGAACAGCTCGGGATGTCGTTCGTACACGAATTGCACAAACTGCTTCCGTGCCTCCACGGCCACCGCGACGACTTCGTACACCAACCGCGAATCCGCCGCCGCCTTCGTGCCCACCAACATGTCCACACACCCCGTAAAGAGGCCCTGCACGTAACTCGAGGTCGCCAACCGCTGCAGCACATACTGGTTCCCTATCTGTCCCGATTCCGATGCCGTACCCGATCCTTCGGCTGCGGTCTGCGTCCTGTTCCGGATGTATTCGGCGGCTGCGTGAAGAGCACGTTCGCGTCGTTCGTCTTGTTGGAGCAAACTCGCAAGTTGGCGGCGCCGCACCTCACGGTTCTCGCAGGTGAGAAAGCCGTAAAAGTTCGCACCGATCCGTGGACTAAAGCCGGCGGAGGGCAGCAGTTGTTCGGGTAGGCCGAGCAGCCAGCCTTGCGCGCCTTTGGCGAAGGCAAGGACCGCACGCAGCTGCGCAATCAACCCTGTCTGCCACGGCACGGCGTCCAGCACCATTCGCGTGGCCTCATAGTGCGAGACCACCGTCGTGCCCAGCAACCCGCGCCGCGCCACGTTCGTTCCGTACGTGTGCCACAGCAGCGGCAAACTCTCCGACGCGTGTGCCAACGCCAACACACGCCACGCCGCAGCTGACCGGTACGCCACCATCGGCAGCGCTACCGCTGCCTCTTCCGCCGCGATCTCAGTCTCTCCGCTGGGGGTCACCGCGGGTGCTGTTGTCTGTCCATCAGTTGCCTGTGCACCATTCGCCTGTTCGAGTTGGTCGGGGTCGGTGTCGTTAACCTCGAGCCACTTGAGCAGAAGGGCGTGGTTCGACGGCGTGCGACCTCCTTGGCGCTGGACCGCACGCCGGTGCGCTATGAGGCCGGCGGGCGCCATGCTGGTGTTGGCGAGGCGCGTGAAGAACTCGGAGCCGTGTTTGCCGCGACAGGCGTCCACGTCGGCGGCCGTTAGCCAGGCGCCGAAAGCGTCGCGAGCCGGGGGTCTGGCAGGCTGTGTCTCCTCTACCCCCTGCTCCGCCGCCTTCCCCTCTGCGAAAGGATCGGCGTACTTGAGTGCCCAGTCGGCGGCCTCCTCGATACCAGCACCGTAGGTAGCACGCACAGCGCGCTGTGCGTGTGGCTGCGAGAAACCCATGTCCACGAGCAACTGCGCAAGCATTCCACTCCACTCGTCTCCCGCTGCCGCCGCCGGGGAGGAGGAAGCGGCACCCTCCGAAACTTCCTCGCGCCAACGGGCCATACGGAAGGTCTTAGGCTCCTCCAGCGGCGCCAACAGGTGTTGGGCACATCGCAGCACACTCGCGTAACTCCGTCCCGACGCCACACGTCCCGCCAGCACCTGCAGGAACCCATTGCTCGGCACACGCGCCAGGTTGACTGAACCCGCCTCCGTGAACAACGGTCCGCAGAACACACGTCGCCACCAGCGCACTTGCGTCTGTGCGAGCAGGGCCAGCACCGTATACGTGAAGCCGGGTGCGTCAAACACTCCCAGCCGCCGGAACCACACGGCGCCGCACGGCCCTTGGCTCGCTTCTTGGTCCGCTGGTTCAGCCTTGTTAGTGTAGTTTTCGACCATAGGCGAGTCGAAGATGCGGCGCCAGCTGGTCATCTTCTCGCAGAAGTTGGCCGTGCTCTGGAAGCTTTTGTCCACCAACAAAAGGCTGGTCTCGAGTTCCTGGTCGCTAAGGCGTCGCAGTTGCGCGTTCAGCTGTTGCTGGAAGGCGATCCAGGCGGGCGTCCAGCCATCAGGGGCTTCGGCGCCGCGTAGGTCAAGTTCGGCGGCGCCCACGAGCCGTCGGGTGGCCT